TTTCTTCTCCTCTCTTTCCTCTGAACTGCATAGTCTGCTTAGGGATTTCCCAGTGTAAGGGCAGTCTTCTGCTTTGACTCTCTGGGGGCCTGAGGTGTCGCAGAGCAAAGGCGGGGAACGGGGCGCTTACGCAAGCATACTCGGAAACCAGTAACTTCTATGCTGGACCAGATGACTACTGTGGCAGCGCAGTTAATGCTTGTTCTGTTACTGTCATTGGCTTTGGCGCAGATGCGCATAATTACTCAAAGCAGGGAGGAATCATGGTCTGGTAGTTTCACTGCATTGAAATACGGTAAGGAAAGAAGACATGCAAGGTGCAAAGGGGGAGTATCAAGCTTGTCCATCTTAGCAGGACCCCTTTGGAAGAGAACAGGTGCAGAGGTACAGGTACCTACACGTACTTACCCTGCTTCACCTTCGCCTGAACTCCGGGTGCATGTGCCGGAGTACTTGGTGGAGAAGGAAGAGAAGGCATGGTGCGTGAGGCCCCTGTGTTTGGAAGCCTCTTAAACACAACACCAAAGTCTCCGATCCTAAAAGCAGCTGTGAGCAGTTGCAGGGATCCTTTCTAGAAGGCGGAGGGATTTTAAAGGCCCTGACCGATTTTAGCTAAACGCATTTTCGGTCAAGGAAATGTCCTCGGAGGTACTGTGTGCAAAAAACAGGTTGCATGCTTTTGTTGAGCTGCCTGTGTTCAGCAGTTTGACTTGTAATTTCTTTTTTTAGCGCTGGGGTGCCCATGTTAGAAACAACTTTGCTAGGAAATCCAGGCAGAATGGGATAAACTACGGGTTGGCCATTTAGCAGTGCAGCACTGCTTTTGCTCTGTTCACCTTTTCTTGCAGGGGTCTTGTGCTGCCACGAGTAGTTATGCCAAAAGCAGTTCTGCTAGAGGTGAAAAAGGAAGTGTGCAGTGTTCGTGACTTTTTTTTTTTTTTTGACTGTTTACATCATCCATCTTATTGCTCTCTGGGTGTTGCAGTGGATTGTTCAGCAGCACCCACAAAAGCCATTTAAAATTTCTCAAGTTTTAGGAAAGCACTTAAAAGGTTCCTTTTACCCCATACACATTTGTAGGTTCTTATTCTACAAGGGGGCAAGAGGAAGAGGAGCCCTGTGTTTGTGAGATGATAGGCCTCCTGAAATTTCAGAGATTGACTGGAGCATTTTACTTTACAGTTTCTTACATTTCTTAGTCTTCAGATAGTAGGGCTCCACTGTAGGGCTTGTGCTCTGAAGTAAGTTTTTAATAGCATGTGAAAAGTTTTACTGAATTTAAAAAAAAAAAAAGTTCTGTATGCTATCTGCCAGGCTTTCACGGGCTTCAGCAACATTATGCCACCCTTCTACCTATGCTGCATGTGATCATCAAATACCAGTATATTCTAGCTATTTGCTAGTCAAAAAGCTTTAGTATTTTTTCAGTGAAAAATTCAGCTGAAGCGATGTCTGCAGTGGCTTAAATTGAGGATCTAGGAGATGTCATCTTTCTGCAAGTTAATAATTTTTTACATAAAACTGAGAAAGGATTAAAATGAACCTCACTAGCTATAAATCTACCCTTAAAGTTAGCTTTAGGAATCGTTCACTGCTTCTGCGAAGCACACAGCTTTTGACAACTGTGTAAGCATTTCTTGGCACTGCTTCATTGGAAGTGCTGTTTCACACAGGATGTTTAGAGATGTTTTCAGTTGGAGAACTGGAAAAACAGTGTTTGAGGAGGGCTGTCCGGGGAGTAGCGGCAACCACTGACATGTGGTTGCTCCAGCAGGCCTGCTGTGCTGCCCAAACCCTAGCTGCTGGCTGTTAGCCCTACTTTCTGTCCTTATTAGCAGCATTGCAGGCTGCTGGGCAGGTGTCCCCCC